AAAAAAAAAAAAAAAAAAAAAAAACCCCAAACCAAAAAGAAGGTTGCATTTGGGCCAACATCATGTCACCACACTCCATTTTTGAAACATTCTACAAAAACTTTCTTATGTTCTTGTTTAATAATTTCTCAACATTTCTGAAGTGCATTCTTGATTAACCTTAATTTCTTACTTGGATGTTGTATTTGCTTATGTTTATAATAGAAAGAGATGGATCAACCACTTAACTCGAATACTGCTGCTTTAATCTCTTCTTCTTTAACGCTCGTTCAAGCCAGTGAGGTCTATGACTGCTAATAAGACTCCATTATAAGCCCTCAATTCCAGGTCCTTCCTTTCCATTCAAAATGTTTTAAACTTAACAATCTCGTCTGTAATGAAGACTATCACTCTACTGTTTCTTCAAACTTTGCTTCAATTTCTTGTTCAACTTGCCATTTGCGATCAAATGAAATGATTTGGAGGAATTATCACCTTCTTTAACCCATTTAACTTTTGTTTTTGCCTCCCGCTAGTATTATCTTTCAACCCTGCACTCTCAAATTTATTTTGAAGCTCACATCTGTCAATTCCAAGGAAAAAGCTACCCTAATGGCTCTAAAAACATTCTTATTCTACTCCTATAACTTGTGTTTCAACATCTTCTCTAAATAGAGAGAAAATTTGGAGAATCTTTAGAGGCCTTAGGCTATCCGTTTTTCTCAGTCAACAGTGTTCTACTTGGCTCTGCGAATAACCTTTTCTTCCCTGCTCCTTCGACCTTCATTCCCATCTTGCCAAGTTGAGGCTGCCGCCGGAAATGGAACAAATGCTGCTGCTCCTTCTGAGTTCGCATGAAACCTTTTCTTGGTTAATGGCAGCGCTTGACGAGTTGTCTCATTAACTTAAAGCCTTCACATCCTTCTACTTTTACATCGAACCACCAACATTTATGGCCTTTAACAAAAAGTTCATGTTCAACTCATATATTTTCAAATCTAAAATGCATTGGTCCTCGGTCTTTCTTTGGTGAAAAGATCTTATTCTTTCCTTTCTTTAGAACACTCTTGTCGAAACATGTTATTTATTCTTTCAACTTTTATTTAAGTTAGTGCTTGAGGAGCCAATACAGACTAAACGACTTTGGATAACTTTAATCACTAGTTTATCATGCAACCACGATTGACTAGTTTATATTTCAAAATTGTTTTGAGCCCAAAGGTTTCACAGTGTTGGCTGAAGCTGAACACTGTTGTTTTCCAAAATAATGGTAATAGAAGCACGAGAGATTCCTAATGATTCAATGCCTGGCTAAAGATTTCTTGTTGTTTCTGCAACACTATTACCTAGTGTTCAACTTCTTTCAAATGGTTGCACTATCGTAATTCAAGTAATGCCACCGACATGTCCACAGCATTCATAATCATTGCTGCTATTTCACAACAAATTTTAATTCATCCTGTGCTGATCTGCTGTCAGCTTTTCTAGGATTCTCAAAGTAGGACAATCAAGGAAACTACACAGCGATTTTCAAATAGTTCTCGAATGTGAAAAGAATTTCAGGACTTCAAAGCTGGGTGTCTAGTAGAGACACGTAGCATACACCACCAAAGATTTAATCCAGTTCAATGATGGAGGGGGAAGAATTCGTGCACATTTGAGTGCTCCAGATATGGAAATTAACCTCAGTTCAAATAAATGATAGAAAATCTTTTTGTTCTATTCCTTTCCATTGCTTTTCTTGTTTTTTTGAAAAAAGTAAAAAAGAAAATATGTATTTGTGCTCTGGAGATTAGGAATAACCTTGAGTTGAAATAAAAATGCAGAATTATAATTTTTCAAAATTAGTATTGGTGAGGAACTATTGTTGATTGATGACCAAGAGATACTTGCTATGGATGTTGTGCAAAGCAGTGTACAAGGTGCTTCACCCTGTACAAAGTGAGAAGAAGGGCTTGAATCTGGTTGGAAGGAGGTCCAGTATAGTTGGCTCATACCTTTGGTTGGCTAGGTGGCACATTTTGGGACTTTTGGCCCCGGACCCATTGAGAGTCAAATATCTGTTTAAGCTGCCTTGGTCTCGTAGTAGTGCTATTGCAGCATAAACAGCCTGACCTGCACTCTATATCTTACAAGCTGTTGAGAATTCTGTTTGTGATTACGTAATATTCTAAAATATTTTTTAATTTGACAGCCAATTGCTGATCATCTCTATAAAATTTGCTGATGTTGGGTTGTCTTACATTTTTACATTCCTCTTACTCTTGATTTTTTTTTTTTTAAAATGACGCCACCTAGTTTATCAATATATTCATGATTCTGAAAGTGAATGTTGTAGCCTGTAGCAGTCTTTAAACTGTAGTTTAATTCAGTGACATTGTAGCCCGTAGCTTAATCTTTGAACTGTAGGAGTCCTGTTGAAGGCCCGGTTCTGTATATTGTCCAAAACAAGTCTGTTTTAATATGCATCTAATGCATTTTATTATCCTCGAGGTAATTTATGAACCACATGTGGCTGTATGCATATTTCAGGATACATGGGACGAGGTTGATCCAGATGAACTATCTTATGAGGTAAGCATGGAATCTGGAGCTTTTAGTTGAAGCATTTTATGCTCCTACTTCATGGATTTCGGTTCTTTGTTTTAGGAATTGCTTGCATTGGGTGACATAGTTGGAACTGAGAGCAGGGGCCTTTCTGCTGCTACAATTGCTTCTTTGCCTTCAGAGAATTATAAGTCACAACACACAGAAGTTGGAAGCAGTGATTTGTAAGTAAACTTGCCTTAGGTTTTTACTGATTAGAATGATGTTATGTGTTGATAACATTCTGCCCTTGTGTCTCAGCTGTGTTATTTGCCGATTGGACTATGAGGATGGTGACACCTTGACTGTGCTATCTTGTAAACATTCATACCACTCTGAGTGTTTAAACAATTGGTTACAAATAAATAAGGTTTGGCTCCTGTCCTACATTAATCTACTTTGCATAATTCCATTTTGGGACCTGAAAACAGATGTCCATTTAGTTGAGGTCTTTAATAAAATGTTATCGTGAGTATCTTAACTTTGCACCATGTATCGTTTTTACCTTTCCTTCTTTTTGTAAGCTTGCATATCTTCTAGCAGAGCATTTTGTTTCATGCGAAGTTTGAATTTTGCATAGAGCGTTATTCTTTGGTGTTCTGTACCCCCATGAAATCTGTTAAGGTGTATAACACTTTGCCGTTTTGGGAGTGGATACCTCTCTTTAACCTGTTTTGCTAATCTTTAACTGAACAGTGAGTTGAAGGGTTTTAATGCATCTGTGCGGCTACATATTTGTGTTGTCCAACTTTTTCCACCATTGGGCTACTTGAAGGAACTACTGAGGCAAAACCTTACCGTCTGGAAATAAGATGCTCAGATTTTGGGGGAATTTGGTTTATGTGAAGGCACAGAGCCATGAATTTTGTTGAGTGGAGTCATTCCTCAACTAATTGAATTAGTTCATATAAAATCTACGGTCCATTGCAATGCAATTAAAGTGATTATTCCTTTGTCTCTAAAATATGGAATAGAGTTGTGGTGATTGTTGGAATTCATTGGGTGATTGCAAGAAGTTGTGACATGGTTTTCATTATTTAGTCCGAGGGTTTTGTTTGGTTCTAGTTCTAAAGCCTAGATTTTAGGGAGTTGTGTGGTTTTGACTTTGTTTTGGGTGGTATGTTTGGAAAGAAATAGGAGGATTTTTTATTCTAGCAAAACTACTTGGGAAGGTTTGTGCAATAAAGGTTAATTATTTGCTTCTCTTTGGGCTTTTAATGACTAGGAATTTTAAGAAGTGCCACATTTTCTGATTAAAAACCATTGGCAAATGTGTGAAGAATGTTGACATACAGAAATCTTTATTCCATGGGTTTTTATTTTACTATGTTTTTATGTTTGGTTTCAATGTTTTCTTTGTTATTTGTCTCTCTTATAGGAATCCTTTTTTCTCATGTATGTTTCCTTTCTGTTAATTATAATATAAATCTTGTTTACTCAATAAGTGGCAATAAAAACTTAGAAATTGATCGACTGTAATTCTAGTAAACACATAGTTTGTTGAAATAAGTATTCCCTGTCTACGAAACTAGTGTAGAATCGAATCCAAAATTTAACGTAATTCTAAATATAAATTGAAATGACCGTACTAAACAAAGAGAAAAAAAGGGAAAAAATCAACTGAGTCTAAAAATAATCCAATATTTATAAGAAACTTAGCACTGATTTGCAGAGCATTGGGCAAGAAGTCAACACCGAAAAACCAAAACACACACGCATGAATGAAACTACATTGAGGCCAAGAGGGGTCATAGGCCCCCTCAACTTTTCAAAAATACCGTATATCTCCCTTATGTTTTTCAAAATCCTATACCTTCTCTTAAGTTTTCAAAAAATTTAATATATATAGGGCAATTAAATTAGTGTATTCAAAAATCCTAATGACTTGATATTTAACAAAAAAAATGAGGATATTAATCGCATGAATTAGTAGTTCTCATATAGACTAAGACACATGTTTGTATAAGTATTATGACTCGAGAGAAAAAAAGTTGCTTTGCACAAAAAATGTGACGTATATATCATAATAATACATTGTCATAATTAATATTTATGATAGTATCACGCGAAAGTAATGTTTAAGACAACAATTTATTTGTAGTCATTGTATAATGTAATGAAGGAGAGAATAAATGGACCATGATTTTGTCATAATTTAATTTTATGATGCCAAGTAAGAATCAATTTTTAGATTTTATGACCTAAACTAATTTTTCAATTCATATCATATGAAAGTTGATTTTAGAAGTACTATAAAAGTAAAAATTTGATAACTTGCTCAATAATTTTATATAATAAAATTTTTAACTGTGACTATTTTTTTCTGCCCCCACGTGGTAAATTTTGTTTCCATCCTTTTACACACGAGAGAAAATTGTTGCCATAATACCACACATTTCCCAAATTGATCCCAACCGTCATTTTTTTGTCAAACTTTCTAGTGTAGTGGCTTCCCAAAACTTGTAAAATTGATGCATTCTCTCTTTAGAATTCTCCCTACCTTGGGCATTTCTATCATTGTTTACATGGAATTGGGTAAGTATAGATGTACTCATTACTTCTTAATAGCGTGAGTCTGGCCTTAAGGTCATCCACATGTTTAGAAGACAAGAATTTTTAGGAGCACAGTTGAACAATTTGGAGTTTCTTTGTAGTTCTCTAGATTATTGATACCTCTGGATTGCATGGGCCAATTTTGAACACTGCATGTGCTTTTGAGTAGTATGTGTGTAAATCAAGGATGTAGCTTTGGAACCCATTAATATTGTTGGTATTAGCTAGTATATATTGATTTTTGACATCTTGGTAGAGTGTAATATCTATTCACAAGTCATATGCCTGTTATATTGGGTTGTATCTTAGGGAGTTTGACCTTGTTCAACATTATAGGTTTGCAATGCTCAGTTTGATATGCTCATAGGGTTTGCTTGGGAATAAAATCAAGTTGTAGCATCTCACTAGTGAAGATATTATGTTTTTCTGCCTTTTTTTGTATTGATGTTGATTTTCAAAGGCATAAAATTCCATGCAATATTTTTGTTATTGCTTAATAGCCTTGTTATGCCTTGTGAAGCCCAATTTTCAACTGAAGTGGTAAGAGCCTGCACTCAATTTCCAAAACCCACCTATGTCAAACTGTGCTTGAAAAACTAGGATGCTTTACCCTACTGACTCATATTTCAACATTTGAATACAATCATCTTGTGCATGGTCTCGGTATCAACAATTGACTCAGAGGGCATGAAACTTTTCATTGCGATCTGGAATAGTATTGGGTGATACATATAAAATTCTACATAGAAAAATAGTTAAAAATGGAGAGATTCGGGTCATATCGTGGTGTTGCAGAACAGCAATATGAGTTGGTTCGATGATGATATCTTGGATGACTCAGGTTGACTAGGACACATTTTGGATGACTTGGTTGAGTTGCAACAGATTCTTGGTTGCAGCAAAACGTGAAACAATATTGGATCAGAAGATGGCGAGGTGGACAAGATAAGACTCGGACAAGTCATATCGATATCATCCGATGCTTTGGACTATGATATTGCGTTGGCAATGGCATGGCTTGGTGGAGTTACCTACTCTTCCCTGCATTGTTATTTTGCAGGTGGACAGTTCATTTGAGTTTTGCTCAACTCTTGTATCTGTTACATGGTAAGGTTGGTCGATTTGAGTACATTACATACCCTAGTAAGTATTCAGCTTTTGTTACCTATATAACCTACACCACAGTTTTCAAAGTCACCACCAGCTGGGATGCCATTTATGAGGTTAATTAAGCTTAGGCAGGCTGAAATTTGTTTCGGCATGTAAGAAATTTCTTGCTTCTGTTGGATAGGTGGATCAAGCACTAGGACTTCTCAGTCATATTGATGCTTCTTAAACAAGTTCATGCATTGAAAGATGTTCTAAATGTATCTGGAGTGATTTAAAACTTGGCTAATTAAGGCTGTTCGGTGGACTGGAGTTGAACTTTGCCTGCCGGCTATTCATGTATATATAGTGTGACAAGTTATGTGCTTGAGTTAAGCAAAGGGTAAAGAATAGAGGCAAAGGGGGTAGTGGTGGATATAATTTGGGTGCATATTGTTTTGGTATTATTAGGAATTTGAACAATACATGGTTGGGGAAGCAACTTTGTATAGGTTTTGAACTCGAACGTTTCACTTCCTGCTGGGGAAGCACTGTGGCTGATTTTGTTCAGAGACAGGTGGTGTTATTTAAATGAACAAGATTGTGGAAATAGTCTTCAAAGAGAACTATAGCTAAATTTTTATTGATATATTTATTTTTATTCAGATCCTCGATGAAGAATTATCCTTGTTATTGCCAATGGCAATTTGGATATGGAGGCCAACATGAGCAGAAAGTTTTTGTATCATGAGCTCAAGACGAGATTCATCTTCTAATATTCTAGAAATATTATAAGTGATATGTTTTTCAAACAATGTTATAAATGCTACTGTTTTTTATATTTATCGGACAAAATTGATGGATGGAAGGATGATTCTGTTCTGTGTTTTTGTAGGTCTGCCCTGTTTGCAGTGCCGAGGTCTCTGTATATGGAAACAGCTAGCTGAGTTTACGAACGGTTCCCTTCTATAAACGACAGATATTCTGTGTAATATGTTTGGCAATGTAGTCATTTTCAATTATTGTTTCCTGACATTTGTGATCATTTGGTGAAGGAAAGATCGTGATATTTGCTTTTGTATTGATTCCTTGTTCTACCTGAACATAGTAGCCATTCTTCCATTCTGTTTCACGTGTTTCTCAGTTTTTGGTGGTTTATATGGGTTTCCAATTAATTTTGAAAACCTGCAGTGTATCTGTCACTTGATTGCCAGCAATTTTTACTTGAATCCGGAAGGCGTTCTGGCAGAATTGATGGTATGTGTAGTAGGATACAATGAATAATGTGTTCTTTAAGATTGAATGGCATGTAAGTTGAAAATAATTGTGAAAATTAGCAATAAGGTGGCACAACTCTATAATCCCTGACAAAGTATGCTTGTGTAAACACCAGTAGCGCTCCAGCAAATGGTAACATCTAAAGAGGTGGTAATATGTATTGCCCGTTATTACCACATTTGTTACAACTCACTGTTTGTAGCGTGGCATTCCAAGTGGATGCAAGAATTTATTCTTGGGTGGGTATACTTTTAACTATAATTTTTAATTTTTTTAACTAATCGACAAACTCAACTTAATTTTTTTTTTTTAAAAATTTGTCCAAAAACAAAGACACATATATAGCTCTTTGCACCTTAAAACCGGTTGTTTGGAACCCTCAGTCGATACAGTAGATAGAAAGCAACAGATGTCAAAGGATCACAAATAACAAATTTGTTTTATGCACGATTTTCCATCTAACAGAGCTACAATAATTCAAAAATTTTGACCGGACATATTGATCAAGACATGAAAAAAATTCACAACACTATCGAAAAAAATAGTACAGAAGAGACCCAAATTCCTATGGAATACGGATTAGTCTCTAGTAAGTCACAAGCCAAAGCTCTTTCTAATCAAAATGCATAATTGAAGAAGTACACACACAAAAAAATCACACCAGAGTCGCAACCTTTATGCATAAACAATCAAAACTCAGTTGCTAATAACAACGATTATGGTGGAAAGCCTGCAACTATGCTCTAGCGACTCAAGAAAACCTGTTTGCCCCAAGTGTACATCATCCCCTCTCAGTAAAATTTGTAACATCCAGGTGGAAACAATGGAGCATATGTTGTTCTCTAGCGAATGGACAGGGAGGGTCTGGTTTGGAACTGATTTGGAGTATAGGGTCCATGCTAATACAATTCCATCGGTAAAGCAATGGATAAATGCCTTTATGGAGAACTTACCAGATCAAAACCAGAGAGTTGAGGTGTTGAGCAAGGCCGCTATAGTGAGCTGGATGATATGGAAGGCTAGGAACAACGTTATTTTCAATTCAAAGCCACCAAATCCACTGGATGTTCTAATCAAAGATGGGAGAATGAATGGGGAATTTAGGAGATTTCACAAAGAAGGAGAAAAGCGATACAAAAGACGGAAACAGAAACAGATGGAAGCCTCCTGAATTTCCAGAGCTAAAGTTTAATTACGATGGGGCTTTTGACAGCAGAACAAAGAATGTGGCTGTTGGGATGGTGCTTAGAGATAGTAATGGTACTTTGATTGAGGGAAGAGGAATGAAGATCCCTTTTGTTTCTAATCGATATGTAAAACCTCTAGCAGTGAGGGAAGCCTGCCATTAGGCTCTGTCAATTGGTGCAGTAGAAGCAAGCATTGAAAGCGACAATCAAGAGATAATCCTTTTAAGCTTAAAGGAAGGAGTTTCCCATGGGAGATTGATGAGTTGATTGATGACAGTAGAAAAACAGCCAATATTAGGGGTGCAACTTGGGCGAGCCAACCTGAATTCAAACCGAGTCCAACCCAAAAAAAACAAGGCTCGAGTTAGAATTGTTAATATTTGGGTTGGGTCTGAGTAAAAAAACTCCAATCCGAATTGAATTTGGACAAGTCTCGGTTTGAACCCGAATATACGTAAATATATAAATATATTTAACTAGAGTTAGTATTTATCTTCACTTTTTAGAGTCCAAACTTTCACTTTATTTCAAGTCTTCATCCCTGCACCTCTATTACTCTTAGATCCCTCTCTCACTCATCACTCCTCCCTCTCTCAGCCTCCCTCTCTCAGTCTCGTCACTCATTTGAGTCGTCTCAGACTATCAGCCTCCTTCTCTTACTCGTCACTCCTTTTTTTCATACTCCCTCTTTGTTCATGCACGCTTTGTCCTTCATCTCAGATCACTTGAAAAAAATCAGATCTCCACTTGAAAAAATCAAATTTACACTTTAAAAAATCAATCCGAATTAAGTAACCCAAGTTCAACCCGATTTTTAACCCCAAATTAGTCCAAATTAAGTAATCCAAATTCAACCCGAGCTCGCTCGAATTAAACTTGGACAGTACTCGGGTTACCTCGGGTTGAGGTAGAGTTAGGGTTGAAGATTATATACTTAGAGTTGGGTTAAGGTTGACCTCTTAACCCGCCCAACTCGCCCGAGTTGCACCCTTAACTAGTATCTTGAACCTGACGTTGAGCTCTGTTCCCAGGAATGCAAATCAAGCAACAAATTGGGTAGTTAGATCAACAAATAGAGGTTTACTTTTTTGTAATTGGATTGATAATTGTCTTGATGAGTTTAGGAAAATCTTATTGGCTGATTATTCTCTTTATGATTATCAAAATGAAAGGGCAAAGACCGAACCATTAAAAAAAAATAAATAAATTACAACAATTATGGGCAATTTGGACCCACCCCAAAATTAAGCAAACATACGAAAAAATGAACAAATCAAAGGTCCATTTGATGAAACATTGGAATTGTACCATAAAACTAAATGAATTTGTAATAGGAAATTGAAATTATACTATATATTGTTACTTCGTCTTCTCCGAATTTCTTTTCTTTTGTTGCTTTGTCTCAGGCTTGTTTTTTGTATGGTGTGCTAAGCATGACTAACACATCATAGATTGAGATAAAAGGGCACAAAAAGCCCTTCACTTGTGGATTAGGTCATCGGTGGGCACAATAACTGGACTAGCAATAAATCCGCCTTTGAGTGAATGAACAAAAATATCTGTCATTTTGGGTCTTCTGCCATTTATGAAGTTTGTTGCATTTTGTTGTCGACATGACTCTCAAATATGCTCTTTCTCTCTTGCATTGATTGATGAATAATGTTATATTATGTGGTTAATTTTGAGATCAAATGATTAAATGAGGTCGGTGGAAAACCCTAGATGTGTTGACCTTCAATTTCCCAATGGTGAAAACGATTTGAACCCCAATGATTTTTCAAGTGGCAATAGATGATGATGCACAAAATGGTCTTATGCAAGATCAATAGTTGAGTGTGTGATAAAGTGTAATTAATGGATAATTAATAGAACAATTAATGACAGTAATGTAAATATCGGATCAACACGTAGATATATAGTGGTTTAGTCCGGGTGACCTACTCCACTCTGAAAAACGACAATGGTGGTCAGGAGACCTTTTATTGATAAATCAAGGTGAATGAGAGATAGAGAGCAATGGTTAGCTCCAAGAGAGAGACAATAGTTAGGAGAGAGAAAAGTTATGTGTGGCGTGTGTAGAGAGGTGTAGAGATGCTCCTCTCAATGGAGAGAGCTTACAATTTATAGGCATAGAGCCTTAGTTGAGGCAGTGACTTGAGGGGAAAGACACTAATTCTCCGAGTTGATACAAAAGGTAAGTGTCATAAAAAGTTGCCTTGATTTTCGAGAGTGAGTATCCTGATTATTGCTTCCCACATGTTCTCATTCTTCTTGGACTCCTCCAAACTTGGGCTGGGTCGAATTCTCGAATTGGGCTTGACTTGTCCTTTAGCTGATTTGGGCTTACTTGATTTATTGGGCCTGGCCCGGTTAGATTTAGGCTCGTCATTTGCCCCCATGGCCCTACGCCTCCGATTGCTTGTGAGAGAAGGGGGTTGAAGGCATGAGTGTCTTCTTCACTTGGACGAGCAAAAGTTTTCTTGTTCACCACGGCGGCCTTCTCGTCTTTGGAGACTCTGAAATCTTCCTTTTAATTAACATTAGGCATTTTCTGCCTTCGATTGCATTTGTTTAGCTAGGTTCTTCGTCAATCTTGAAGAAGCTCCTTGATTTTCAGGAAAAACCCCGTCGAAAAGCTTATATATATATGTAAGAAAAAAATTCTCCAACTCCTTTACTCCAATTCCCCATTGTTTTCCTTTTCTTGAAGTTTTTCCATGAGCCTAGGGTCCAAAACCCCTTTTTCCCAAAAGATATTGAGAGAGCCTAAAGTGCAGGAGCTTGGACACAATGAACGGGGGGGCTCCAATGGTAGTTCCACAATGAAGGAGGCGACTGAATCAAGGGATCCAGGAGAAGTCCCGGGGCTGGCCTTGGCGAGGCCATGGGAAACGCCAGGCGAGGCGACGCTAGGCGAAGCCTCCATGGGCGACGTGCTTGGTTGCATTTACCCTAATCTCCAAGCACGAACCCTCGAATGTGTATATGGCTTATAGGTGTAGGTGAGTGTCACTCTCCCTCGGGTTCGATGCTAGAAATGTGAAAAACATGTGTGTGAATGACAATGTGTGTGTGTGCAAAAGTGCTCCCCAAGCGTAGAGATACTTGCAATGTCGTGTTTTACTTGAAATTGAGTATTCCAAGGTCGTCTCCTCAAGGAAGGTTGGTTGAATTGTGGTGAATGTGATTTTGAAAAGAAATAATAAGTGTAAAATCTTGTAGTTTTGTGTTTTGCTGAGTGGAGTTTTTGATAAAAATGCAATGAAACAAGGTTGGCTAATTTGAAGAGGTCATTCTAATGGGAATGCCAAATTAACTCAATACGTTCTACCAATGGTGTCTCGGTGCCTAATTGATTTGTAGGAAGTGAGGGACTAATGTGGAGATGTAGGCTCAAGCATACCTCGTGACAAGTCTACGATGTATCAAGAGCTCACAACCATGGTCGCACTCAACCTAGTCAAACCAAACACTTTACACTAGGAGGAAGAATGGAGGAGAGTTGATTTAGCATACCCAAGACGAAATCTCCCTTGGATTAGCCAACTAAAAACTTAGCTACTCATAATAAAAGGAAAGTCCAACACAAAGTAAAGAAACATGGTAGAGAAATGGAGCATGGAACTTGTATTAATGAAAGAAAAGAGTTAAACTACAAGTGAAATAGCATTCATGAACAAAATACAAATATTGAAAGCAAATACCCAAATGTAGAAATTGAAATGCTAAAAACACTTAGCTAAGCTTGCATACAACTTGAATGAAAGAGTTTAACATGAAAAGGGGAAAGATTACAAGTAGTTTAAAGCTTACAACACTGAAAATGGTGAAGAAATAATGGAAACCCAACTTTCTCTCTCTAATTTCATCTTCTTCCTTGTGGTCCTATCTCTAAAAGTATGTGTGTAGCTGAATAATGGTCTAAGAATTGTTTTCATTTTCGTCCACGACACCCCTAAGGTCTGTGAGAGCTGACTTACCATCATTGGGAAGGGATTGGACAATTGTGTAGGCAAGGACAGACCATGCCATGCCTTTTCCATGCTTCCCGGGGGAAAATTCATTCTCGAATTGGGTATTTGGGGTTCTTGTGGTCCCCCACCCCTTTGGACATTTGGATTTGCATCCCTTTGGACATTTGGATTTGCACCTATATTGTCAAAATTGTCACCCGCATCCTCGGGTTGTTCTTGGTCAATATTCATGGTAGGGGCCAAGTTTTGTCTAACAAGTCGGTTTCGATCGTTCCGCCTCCACATAAAACAAAACAAATAAAATTATACACAAACAAGATTATATACACGGAACAACGTACCTCCGCCCATGATGAAGATCATGGGACTTACCTTCGTCGTCCGAAAATCACCTTCTTGGTTTGACACTTGCCTTCCCCGGCAACAACGCCAAAAATGCTTGACAAACTTCCTTGTTGTTTCCTAACCTATAAACATCACCTTTTAGCATGTATAGTATATGAATGAAGGGGAGTGTCACTCTCCTAGGGATGATGTCAAAAGAAAGGCAACGAAATGGTGGATGAATGAGATTTCAAATGTGAGTATGTGTGAACAAAAGTGCTCCCCAAGCGCAAGGAGACTTTCGCGNACCTAGTCAAACCAAACACTTTACACTAGGAGGAAGAATGGAGGAGAGTTGATTTAGCATACCCAAGACGAAATCTCCCTTGGATTAGCCAACTAAAAACTTAGCTACTCATAATAAAAGGAAAGTCCAACACAAAGTAAAGAAACATGGTAGAGAAATGGAGCATGGAACTTGTATTAATGAAAGAAAAGAGTTAAACTACAAGTGAAATAGCATTCATGAACAAAATACAAATATTGAAAGCAAATACCCAAATGTAGAAATTGAAATGCTAAAAACACTTAGCTAAGCTTGCATACAACTTGAATGAAAGAGTTTAACATGAAAAGGGGAAAGATTACAAGTAGTTTAAAGCTTACAACACTGAAAATGGTGAAGAAATAATGGAAACCCAACTTTCTCTCTCTAATTTCATCTTCTTCCTTGTGGTCCTATCTCTAAAAGTATGTGTGTAGCTGAATAATGGTCTAAGAATTGTTTTCATTTTCGTCCACGACACCCCTAAGGTCTGTGAGAGCTGACTTACCATCATTGGGAAGGGATTGGACAATTGTGTAGGCAAGGACAGACCATGCCATGCCTTTTCCATGCTTCCCGGGGGAAAATTCATTCTCGAATTGGGTATTTGGGGTTCTTGTGGTCCCCCACCCCTTTGGACATTTGGATTTGCACCTATATTGTCAAAATTGTCACCCGCATCCTCGGGTTGTTCTTGGTCAATATTCATGGTAGGGGCCAAATTTTGTCTAACAAGTCGGTTTCGGTCGTTCCGCCTCCACATAAAACAAAATATATACAAACAAAATTATACACAAACAAGATTATATACACGGAACAACGTACCTCCGCCCATGATGAAGATCATGGGACTTACCTTCGTCGTCCGAAAATCACCTTCTTGGTTTGACACTTGCCTTCCCCGGCAACAACGCCAAAAATGCTTGACAAACTTCCTTGTTGTTTCCTAACCTATAAACATCACCTTTTAGCATGTATAGTATATGAATGAAGGGGAGTGTCACTCTCCTAGGGATGATGTCAAAAGAAAGGACAACGGAATGGTGGATGAATGAGATTTCAAATGTGAGTATGTGTGAAAAAAAGTGCTCCCCAAGCGCAAGGAGACTTTCGCGAATCGTGTTTTATTTGGTGGTATTCCAAGGTCTTTTGCACGGGGAAGGAAGTAAACCGAGAGAAAGGTAATTTTGGGAGAAATAAAGTGTAAAATCTTTGATTGTTGGAAGTTGTTTGGTGAAGTTGTTTTGATGCTAGTAAAATGAGAAACAAATGTTGGCAAATCCAAGAGGTCACTCCAATAGGAATACCGTCTCAACTCGAAACCCTCCTCCAATAGAGCATGAATGAACTATTGATTCGTGGGAAGCTAGGGGTAAGATTGGTGAGTATTTAAGCATAAACCGTGACTAGGCCTACGAAATATCAAAGACTCACCAAGTTATCCACCCTCAACCCAGTCAAACCGAACCATTGAACTATGAAAGAAGGGAGGAGAATGAGTTGAAATGGTATACCCAAGTGGAGGTTCCTCTTGGTTTTGCCAACTAAGAGATTTAGCTATTCATGCTTAAAATAAAGACAACAATATGATGAGAAGACATTATGAAGAAATAAAGACTAGAGCTAAGCATAAACGAAATGCATAAATATAACTTTCGGATAATCACCTCTTACTAAAGATTGGATGAGAAACTACTCACT